GGAGCCTTCCCGGGCACTCCGCACAGCCTGGCTGGCCCCGGGCTCTGGCAGGCAGAGCCGGGGGGTGTAGGCTTCCTGTGGGAGCGGGGGTTGGGGTCATTCCTACCACGAAGCCAGCTGAACATGTCTGTGCCAACGCACGCAGTCCCAAAGCCCACGGCGAGGAGGAGGAGAGGATGCTAGAGGGGAGGTGGGCGGGTGGGGAAGGGCAGAATCATTTTGGCACATACAGTTTGGAGGCTTCATTGTGCAATTTTAGTTAGGTCAGTAGAGTGAGGGAGATGAGTCATAAAACCCCAATCCTGAAAGTTGTGCCATGTGAGACTGATGCAAAATCTTGCTGAGGTTTTGCGTGGGTGCTGAAATCTGCCTGGTGGGGAACAGCTTTCAGGATCTAGATAACCACCTGCTTATGCCGTTATTCGGTATGTCATCCTGCATTAATTTGCTGTGATGTACTTAGGTGTTGCAACTGATAGGTGGTCCTCTATCAGGGAGCGTGAGAGAAAGAATTGATCCTACATACAGCACCATATATGCTGCAATACTTGTACACATCAAGGTGAGTTGACATTGCATTTCTTGGCAGTCTCTAAATTAAGACCAATGATGATTTGATTAGTTCTGTTCTATAGGACTTTTGGAGCTCCCTGACAAAAATATAGGGTATTCAGTGTAAAAAGTGGACCCAGAGTTTTTCCCATGTATCTAGATGTTTATCATTTTCATATGCTGATTTGTCCTTCTCTGTAAAAAGGTGGAAGTGCAATCTCCAGGCCTCTACACTCACTCCCCGGTTGCAGTCCCTCTACTAGATTTTATTTGAAAGTGGTAGGAAGGATTTGGTATGGCAGGGCTAGGAGCTCAGAAGTAGATGTGCTTGAAGGTAATATATGCAGTAGACTACCTCTTCTTTTTGACTTGAGATCTGGATGTGGAAGTATCTAGATAAAAGTAGCAATGTCTCCCTTCCAAATTTGGCAAGGACTATCCTTTTCCCAAAGGAGCGAGGGGTTTGGATGACTGTCACTCACCTCCCCTTGCAAACTATCATTTGTATTTCTCCCTTCCCCATACCTTTGAGGAAATAGCTTTCAACGAATTCCATGAGCAATCCAGTCCTATTATCTCTTGCTTGGATTCATTGTTTTTGGTTTCTCAGGGAAGGGCAGGATCTGGCCTGGAAACCATAGAAAAGAACCAGACTAAACGATAAACGTACGATCATTCAAAAATATGACATAACCTTTAGCTCCTCTTCATAGCCAGAGATTACATCTCGTCATGCACTCAGAATCCTCAAGTTATCAGCACTAAACTTTTCCATGATTATGGTTCTTTCTGTTTGGTTTTGATTTTGATTAACAAAAGGTTGTATTGCAAGAGATGTAAAAACATTATCTAACTAGCATTTGTGCCATCATATTGTCACAACAATATAGGTGCATAGTGAATTTTTAATAACTGCTTGTTTTCAGAGAAAATGTGTAGAAAGTTTTAAAAATGCATATTTTTTAGACTGCCTATAACACTTTATTTAAAGAGACAATATCAACTTAAACTCCTAGCCTGATTCTCCATGCTGGTGTAAAAGCACAGAGAATGAGACATTATATTGTGAACAAATATTGGTTTACTTGTGTTTTCATTAACCCTAGATTATTAGAAGCAAAATAATTGTTAAAATCTCATTGTTTATATTCTGTATGGGGACTATAACAATCACTGAAGTCAGTTTCATTTTGGTTCACTTTAAGCTCTTTAGTGCTGTACTGTTTGGCTGCGTCTAGACTGGCAAGTTTTTCCACAAAAGCAGCTGCTTTTGTGGAAAAACTTGCCAGCTGTCTACACTGGCCGCTTGAATTTGCGCAAGAACACTGATGATCTAATGTAAGATTGTCAGTGTTCTTCCGCAAATACTATGCTGCTCCCATTCGGGGAAAAAGCCCTCTTGCACAAATGTATTTGCACAAGAGGGCCAGTGTAGACAGCTAAAAACTGTTTTGCGCAAAAAAGCCCCAATGGCGGAAATGGCGATCGGGGCTTTCTTGCCCAAAACCGCGTCTAGATTGGCACAGACGCGTTTCTGCAAAAAGTGCTTTTGCGCAAAAGCGTCCATGCTAATCTAGACACTCTTTTCTGCAAATGCTTTTAACAGAAAAGTTTTCAGTCTAAAAGCATATGCCAGTCTAGACGTAGCCCCAGTGTTTTCAATACAGCACAGGAATGTGTACTTGTATAAAATCAACAGTTTTCGGTTGCCATGTATTCCTCCCTTGGAAGAAGAAGAAGATGTTTTGATGTAATCCCTTTTAGCATTCAATTTCATAAGCAGCTTTATTTTTGTTGCATTTAAAGTTTGGCCTAAATGTAATTGAATGGTGACTCTTTAAGGCCTAGATCTTGTAGTCAGATTTGAAATGGGCCACTGCTAGAGATCTAATTAGATTCTTTATTCAAACTCAAGAAAACCAACAATAGAACACCACTTGTCATCACCTACAGCCCCCAACTTAAACCTGTCCATCACATTACCAATAAACTACAGCCTATACTGGAACAGGATACTAAACTCCAAGAGGCTCTGGGAGACAGACCTATAGTCTCCTATACACAACCACCTAACTTCAAGATGATTCTTCCCAACAACCACAGGACATACCACACTAATACCAACCCTGGTGCCTTCCCTTGCAACAAACCCCGTTGCCAGCTTTGTCCACATATTCACTCTGCTGATACCATTATTGGACCTAATCAAGTGAGTTATAAGATCAAGAACACATATTCCTGCGCATCCAGAAATATAATTTATGCTATCATGTGCCGAAAGTGTCCGTCTGCTATGTACATTGGACAAACGTCTGAGACACTTCACCAAAGGATCAATGCCCACAAAACAGATATTAGACAGGATCACAAAGAAAAAACAGTTTCTTGCCATTTCAACCAGAAAGGACATTGTCTCAACGACTTGATTACCTGCATCCTTCTTCAAAGGCCTTTTAAGACTGCACTTGAAAGCGAATCCTCTGAACTGTCATTCATGCTTATATTCGACACTTTACGCCTGAGTTTGAATAAAGAATCTAATTACCTTATCCATTACAAAGATAGCTTCCCCAATTATCACCTCTATTATCATTAGCTCACAGACATTTACCTTCCCCCCCTTCCCCCATCCCCTTTCTGTTCTGAAATTTGAGTTGTCCTTTTCATATGTGTTCACTTTTTTTTTTAATTGTATCCTTTGGTATATATGGTTGTGACAATTTTCTTCCACTATTTGATCTGAGGAAGTGGGTCTGGCCCACGAAAGCTCATCACCTAATAAACCATCTTGTTAGTCTTTAAAGTGCTACATAGTCCTGTTTTTTGATTCAGAATGAAATAAAGAGCAGAAGTCTGCAATATAATTAAAAAACAAAACAACTGCACACTAATAAACACACATGGTGCTGAGGGCCCCTACTATCACTGTTCTGTTGCTGTGGCTCCCAAAGGACTGTTACAATTGTGGATGTGAAGGGAGATGCCCATGATGAGACAGTGGCGAAGGAGTAATGCTCTTATCTGAGGCTTCCTGAGCTGGTGATGGACCACTCTTGGAGGGAGGAGAAAGTCTCCTTAAAGGGATTGGACTGAGGGGTCTTCATTATGGCTACATGGCCTTTTTAATGGGCCAGCCCAGTTCTTTGAGGGCTGCTGAGCAATTTTCAAGTCCTCTCTATGCAAATTGAGATGGTTTGCTTAAATTTACCTTAATAGAGGCACACTTAGAGCCATGGGACAAAGTGTCATTTTACGAAGGGTTCAAAGCTGTGAATTTCACACTGGCTATTTAGCAACTTTTACTTTATATTATAAAAAAGCGTGAAAAGACATAAAGATGAGGGGCAGTGAATATTGGGGTTTATCTTATAATAATAGTCCAAGGCTTTTAGGGACTTTTCCTCTCTTTTTTTTTAAATGTGTTTGGGAGAATGGGAGATGCCCCTAAACAGATCCAGATCCCTACTATGCTAGTTGCACAAATATGCCAATCAGAATTATGTGATGCATAAAAAGTAAGTCTCAGAAGTTGGGGCCTGCTTTACCTCTTACGTAATTCTTACGTAACCTGAGTAATTCTAGGGATTTATGAAAAGTAACTGTTGATTTAGCATGCATGAGGTGAGAAGTGGACTCATGGGTGAGTTTAGAAGAGGAAACAGTATTACGGAGTCAACGAGGAACCTAGAGATAGGCCCTAAAATTTCAATCCCGTTCAGGATAGTCTCCCCAAAGCAGAAGAGTTTAACAAAAGTTTTGACCAACATCCTGGGGATTCCAGATCTGATGGCTTAGAGATGGGCCCACAGCAGTGGAAACCATCATCTCTTTAATATGTTTTAAAGACATGATGCTCCACACTCTCTGGAAGTAGCTGTTTACTCAATGAGAAGGGTTACAGCAGGCCTCTGGGTTTAGCTGTTAATGAAAGCAGAGATACTGAGTTCCACTCTCGCACCTGTTCTTGACACTTTGCTATTGATCTCAAGTGTGCTAGCATACAAGCCTGCATCGGAGGACCTCAAAGCACTACTAATATGCCTGTGAGACTGATATATACATCTCCATTAATAAGGCTAATATATGAGCACCAAAGAAATGCCTATAATTATTAGTTAATGACAACGAGGAGTTAAGTGGCAGTCACCCAGGAAGCCAGAGTAGAGCTAGAAACACTGTGGTTTTTTTAAACACTTTTTCTCCCGTCTTTACTCTCAGAATTGTGTAAATGGTTAATTCTGATGACCTTTGCACTCCCTGCCTCATGTAAACATGCCATTCAGAATATGTTGGCATATTGATATTCTGAGTGTGAGTAAATGTAGGACTTGCTTTTTGGACTGCATATGGCCAGAGAGCTCATTACATGTACTCCTACATATATCATCCTGGGGTAAGTACATTATGCCATCCTAATTCAATAGTAGTTTGTACACTAGACAGTCATAGGTCAGAAGCTTCTCTGGGAAACAGAGATGGGCCTTGTAATCACATTTTCATTCCCTGTGCATTCATTCCGTAGTCTGCAGCAGTAGGGCTATGACAATTCTTGAACTGGTCTCATCACAGCTGCTCTAGGAATTTGGAGAGAAGCATGGGGTGAAGATCTCAGATGGGTGCATGTGGCAAGAAAGGAGTGCAAGCTATTCCTGAGGAAAATGCTGAATGAATCTGTAGAGAAAAATGGTCTCTCTAAACTGCTGCCTGTCATGCCACAGAGCCCCTAAATTTGCATTAAGGAAAGACTTACGTAGTAGCCTGCAAAATGGCACTTTCCCATTCTGGATGATGTGGTGTTTCTGCTTCTGCACACAGAGCCAGCCAGTGTAACCTAAATCACATCTGCTTTGGAGACGGAGCAAGTCCCCTGCCAGCTTTGAAATGTACAAGAATCCCCAGTGGGGGCTCTTGTGCATTTCAAAGCCGAAGCACCCTCATGGAGCCTGAGGTCAACGGGGGACTCAGAGTCCCCTACTGACCCCGGGATCCATGCTGTGCTGCCGCTTTGAA